CCCCAGTCCGAGGGAGATTGACAGTCATCTTCAATTTCTTCCATTGTCTAATAATTGCACCAACAGTTGTTGCCTTCTCACCAAGCTGTTTACCTATTATCCTGTAGCCCATCCCAACCTTGTGCACGTCTACAATTTTGTCCCTAGTGTCCTTAGACAGCTCTTTGGTCTTGCCCATAGTGGAGAAGTTGGAGTCTGATAGATTGAGTGTGTGGACAGGTGTCTTTTATACAGGTAACGAGTTCAAACAGGTGCAATTAATACAGGCAATGAGTGGAGGATAGGAGGGCTTCTTAAAGACAAACTAACAGGTCTGTAAGAGCCAGGATTCTTGCTGGTTGGTAGGTGATCAAATACTTATTTCATGCAATAAAATGGAAATAAGTTATTTCAAAATCTAACAATGTGATTTTCTGGAATTTTTTTGTAGATTCTGTCTCTCACAGTTGAGGTGTACCTACGATGAAAATTACAGAACTGTCCATTCTCTGTAATTGGGAAAATTTGAAAAAACGGTAGTGTATCAAATACTTATTTGCCCCACTGTATATTCTAGTATTTTTATGCAGAAGTAACTCGGGTTATACACATCTCTTAAACTCTCACTTGTGAGACTTTTTTTCTAACAAAATTAAGCATTACATGATAGTTTAAGGATCTCCTTGAATGGGCATAAAATCCAAGCCGTTTCGAGTTCATGTGAGCTTGCCTGACATCCGCCAGTGCCCCCACCATATTGGCAAAATGTTACATTGCCTTGTTTGTTATGTGTATTTTCAATAAAGCTTATGTTTTTTAAAAAAAAGATGTCCACGATGCCATTGTAGAAGTGGAATTTTTCAACTGTGCCTGGTTTTGTGGATATATTTTACATCCTCCTGCTGCATTGTGACCAGAGGATGTGAAGAAAATTACAGGGCCTGAGGTTACTGCATGTCCAGGAATGCTCCTGTACAGGTACTGGCTGTCTTACCTGACCAAGTCTAATCTACAAGCAGCCGGCCTATGAAGACCCTGGCAGTGGTGACTGATCAATCAAGCTCTTCAATGCTGGATTCCCCTGGAGCACAGTACCTGTTTGTTTTGACTGCTTGAGTCCAATGTGTCTCCCATGTGATGCGTTGCTAGTTAACTAGTGGATTAATGACCCATGATGTTATTGTCCGCACTATGCTACCTGTTGGAATTAATTTCATTACTTTGGGACAGTATGTGGTCGTGTGAGGGAAGACGCAGCAACCACCAGTTGGATTTATCGACCTTGGAACTACTTGAAAGGGAGCGATGTTCCCACTACTCAGTGGGACTTAACAGTAAGTTTAAAAAACACATGTTCTATGTCTGTTAATGCCTTGTTTCTGTAATGTTAGAGAAAATTATTGTAATGCTGGAGAAGTTACTATGTGTGCATTATGCCAGTTAAAATATGGGGTTTCTCAATTACCTGCTTTGTTTAGAGTATTACACATCTCTTTTCATCAGTACATATACTGTTGTTTACCTATCTATGGAGGAGAAATTCATGCTGTCCACTTGTGACACAACACCGGCAGCAGGAACTGTACATGTTCACAAACTGTCCTCTTGTTTTAAGGAAGAGGCTTTTTGGCTCTCTGATTCTGAAACAATTACAAACTACTTGGAGTTATGAGGGGTGCCAAGATAATCTAGAGGTACCCAAGATTAAACATTAAATGGCTAGAAACAAGCAAAACAAGCATGCCATGTGCATGTTAAGTCTTTTATCAAAACAAGCCAAACTGTCCTACAGTATGCCTTTGTACACTGCAATATGATGGGCCTGTTCTATCACTGACAATTGTGTGTTGCACATGTTCCTCTGTTGTTTTGTTGTATGCATTTTAATGTTGTTTTGTTGAAACAGAAAAAATCTTAAAGATAAAAATAGCAAGAAATGATAAAATATTCAACTTTGAAAAAACACTGTAGCCATTATTTGTGGCTAATTGTAAAATGTAAACACCTGTTCAGGTGATTATAACCCCACAGTTCCAGAAACAGTACTGAGGACATAACCTCGGCATCCTCAATGATTTTGTATTCTGTTTTAATTTATGAAAATGGATCCATCATCCTGCAGCTATTGCAGTGCTCCACTGTCTCGCCTGTCTCCTCTCTGACAGCTCTAGCCTTATTAAAGCAGCTCTGTTTAGAAAAATGCAGTGAAGTCAGCCTCCATTGTTTTGATCCCAGTATGAAATTCATCCTATCATAACTACACTTCAAAAACATTATTGAGGTTTTGTGCTGCTATTATGCCTTGATCCCATTCTGCCCAGTTGCTTGGGCAGCCGGCTAGGAGCCACAACAGCAGCTTGCTCTGTCCTGCTGCTCTCTATTGTATTCATATTGGCTAGAGAGGGAATGTGCACACTGTAAACTGTCAGCACACATATCCTGCACTTCTTGGAATTGTGTCTGGAGTAAGACTCAGGCTCCAGCTCGAGCTTGAGCGATTGAGCTGTTCATGCTGGGGATGACAGCAGCGGGCTTCCAGTCTGGTTGGTAAAAGTGAATGTTGAGGGTTCGAGCCCAGTTTGCAAACACTGTCTTCTCTGTGATAAAGCGGTGGTGGCTTCCTTGTTGGCTTCTCTCATGGGAGAGATACATGGAGCACTCGGTGGGCCCAGAGGGCTCATAGTAATGATATGGCACAGAGGGATGGGAGGAGGATCTACACAAGAGAAGAAAAAAGAGAGGAGTACAGTATGAAAAGGCATGAAAGTGTGAAAATATTGTGAGAATAATTATGAAATGTGAGGGGAGGAGGAAGGGAAAGGAAACAAGTCACAGTGAGGAAGAAATGGAGGCAGGAAAAATGAAAAACAGAAAGATCAGAAGAATCTGGGCTCACACCTGTTCATTACACACAGTTTTATTCCTCGGATACTCACAGTCACCAAGCTCAGTTGAAGACTCAGCCAAGAGAATCACTTCAATCTGGCCCACATTTCTATATAGATATCCAAATGTGTCACACTGTCCTTTGTACCCTTGTAGATTCATGAGGGAGCAATATTAGCCAAGTTATTACCCTATTCTCAGTCAGCCTGACTGTTACAAAGGCATATTAAGCAGCTGTCTTTTAAACCTATTCAGTGTAATGTGTTATTTTTTATTGTATAATGTCAAAAATTTTCATAAATACATTTTCACACATAATTTGTGAACTCTGAGTTTTCACTCACAGCATGAGTGCTATCAGCAGGGAGCTACATCTTGTTCAGAGCACAGTAATCTGACAGGATGACGCAGGTGCTTCAGATGCATGTTATACTGTAGCTGCATTTCCACTGTCAGAACCTAACAAGCTGTACACCCTGTGCTTCCCTTAAATGTAACCTGGCATAACCTCACAGGTTGACACAGATCATCCTACTTTGCTTTTCCACTGTTTTTTCCCACGTCAGCCTCTGTTTAGAGGAGAGTGGGGCTGCGCTCCTCTCCCACACACTCACAGCCAAGCAGAGGACAAGAAGTATCACTCCACAGTGCAACAATTAGCCAGCAACAGAGACTGTATGAAGAGTTTATCAAACAGCTGTGTGAACAAGCAGACACAGACTTGCAGAAATGTGACATCATCACCGCTTTGCCCACGGTCCACTCACTGAAGTCTCTGTTTTACCCCTAAACCAACGTGTAAATGTCTGTCATGTCTATTATTTTTCTTGAACAGCTTCCAAATTAATAATAATATCATATTCCAAATGCCAGTAGTAGATTTACATGGTCAAACAATCATATTATGACGGTTGATCTACTGTATCATGGGAATATATGCTTTTATGGCAGGATGGGGAAACTGAGGTTTGCACTCTCCAAGTGCAGTCTAGTTTTACACTGTATTAGTATGTTTAATGTTCAACACTGTGTGCGTTCCATGTTTTACCTGACCACAATACAAATTTCCTTATGAGAACAACAGAGTTTAAGTAGTTGAATTTGCAGAAGAAAGCTGCATTAATTAACTCATAAATGAACCTGTTGTTGTGCATTCTAGTACCATATATTAATGTTTGTCTTACTGTACTAATAAAGTTTCTGGATTTTAAGAGCAAAGTTTGGGGGTAGGATGTTTCCAAAGCTATCTGACCATGCAACACTGGCACCTTTAATTTAAGCAACTTAAAACCTTACATCAAAAGCTAATCCGGTTATACCTGCAGAAATGTGGAGGCACCATGCCATACACGTTGATCCTGTCACACAGCTCCAGGGCTATAGCCATGGTGAACCAGCCGGTACTCAGCCAGGAGTTGGAGCTCTTCCTGGAAAGCAAGAAAGCGTCACCATCTCTAGTAAATCTATACTTGTACTGTATAGTTCACTGTCTCCTTCCAAGAAACTGAGTCAATGGATGAGAAGAAAAAAGAAAAAACTGAATAAAGAAAGACATTCTTTGTTTTTATGCTTTGTACAAAAGGTAATGAATGGTAACAAAAAGGCTACATGAGGGCTAAGGATAGGGGATTCTCAGTTCAGATGCAACATTTTATCAACCTGTGGGCTTATATATACTGTTCACATGCAAATGAGTTGCAAATGAGTCATGTTATTTTTTGTCACTTTCAGTAAATAATTACTTACTTATTCTTCAAGAAACAGATGTGTGATTACTCACCATGTTGTTTAGTGCTTGTAATGATTGAGGAAACATGGTGTTTCTAAAAGGGTTTGAGTGGAATCAAAATATGATCTGTGACGCTACATGATAAAATGCTCCACTCATGTTTTTACATGCACAGGTTCGCTACTTGTCTCAGTTAGGTCTTTCCAATATATAAATGCACACAGCTCACAAATGCTGGAATGAGTTTACCTGTCAATCCCTGTTTCCTTTTTAAATAGTTCATCAAACTTCATCATCTCGATCCAGGAAATAATGTAGACTCTAAGTTTGGGCAGTAGCTGGTTTAAAAGCCTGAGATTGTTGTAAACCTGGCCTTTTCCATCACGCCTCATGCAGCTGCTTGGTCCCCAGAAGATGAACACTGTGTCTTGGCTTGTGTTGAGCAGCTCCTGGCGCCTCCGCAGTACTCTCTGCAGGCTGGAATGAGCTATGACACGCAGGCTCCGGCGGCCGCCAACCACCCGCCGATTGGGCTA